TCAAACAGTTGTTTTGGCCATGCCTAATGTTTTTGCTATCTCTCTGATGGGTTTGTTTTTTTTCAGCCTAATGATGGCTTGCTTCACTGATAGTGACAGCTCTTTGGATCTCATCTTGAGAGTTGACAGCAACAGATTCCAAATGCAAATAGCACACTTGAAATTAACTCTGGACCTTTTATCTGCTCATTGTAATTGGGATAATGAGGGAAAAACACACACCTGGCCATGTAACAGCTGAGAAGCCAATTGTCCCATTACTTTTAGTCCCTTAACAAGTGGGAGGCACATATGCAAACTGTTGTAATTCCTGCACCGTGCACCTGATTTGGATGTAAATACCCTCAAATTAAAGCTGACAGTCTGCAGTTAACGCACATCTTGTTAGTTTCATTTCAAATCCATTGTGGTGGTGTATAGAGCCAAAAATGTTAGAATTGTGTCGATGTCCCAATATTTATGGACCTGACTGTATATATACTTGCGGTAAAGAGAAGTGAAACCTCCATTAGTGAATGCAAATAGATATCACATCAATACTGTGGATTCAATAAGGGTCCATGCAATTTAACTAAGGAGGTTAAATGCCACCTAACAGGTAGTCAAGAAAATGAATAAGAAACAAAAAACACTCCCTGCTATTAAACATCTCCCCTAAGGGTCAATAGTGCACAGAAGTATAGCGCCAACAAGAAATGAGTAAATAGTTCAGGTTTACCCAATGTTTTTCAGCATGTGAGCACCTCCAGTGCATAATATTGTGGCATTCAGAAGATCTCACATAAGTTACATAGTGTGGAGTTTAAATATGGCATCTAAACGCCACCGCATGCACAGTACCAGCAAAGAACCGCGCATGCGCAAGTCCGCCATCATGGCAACCCCGCAGAGCGCCATGGATGACGCCAGGATGATCGCACGCGCCCTGCCTGGGCGCTAATCCAGCGGCTGGTATGCCAGTAGCAGGGCGGGGTGGAACAAGCCCAAGTAGGGGAAAGAGTGGGCGGGAGTCCCTTTTCACCATCCAGCCCTTGGCGCACCAGGGTGCCATCGGTGAGCATATCAGAATAAGATTGCTTCATGGCTTTCTCTGCACAACTATGTTATTCCAGAAGAAAACCAGATGGTATGTAGGTTGTAAATGTTTATATGTTCTTGATTGTACTTTTATTGTTATGCTACTGTGAATTCTGATTCATATTCACTACATTTTGTAGAATGCCTTTCCAGCCATCTTTATCTTCAGCATACCCCGGAGGAAAGACTTATGTTCTGAAATGCATCGGGTTTTCTGTTGAAGATCATTCACCTTTCACTGCCTTCTGAGGTGTAAGAGAAGCTCTTAGCAAGTTATATATACAGTTTATTTACTATGCTGTATGCAGGTTCTTAACATGTATGTTATATATTAAATTATGATGTCTTTTCACATCTTTGAAATAAATGATCTATTTAATTATTATCCATTATCTGTTTTGGGTTGCCCTTAAAGTCCCAGTTCAAACTGTTGGTGAACACACTTTTGGGTATAGAGCTTATAATAAATCTTGTCTATCGCAACGCTTAATTTTAAATTAATCATAGATTAATTTTACTCCTTTATTTCTCTTCTCTTCAAGTTTCAATCAGTATTTTATTTGCATTATTTGTAAGGCCTGTTTTAAAAGCAGCATTAGAGCTAAGTGATTTGCTGTCTTAAAGATTGGTCATGGGTCTGCATCCCTACTGGGACATTATCTGAATGCAGCTTATATGCTCTCTCCATGTCTTCCTGGGCTTCTGCCAACATCTAAAAACATTCTGGTTAATTTATTGGCCTCCTGAAAAACTGCCCCTATGTGCATGAAAGTAGTAGTGACAAATTTGTGAGCACTTTCAGAAAAAAGGGACCGATGTGAATGAATGGATCTGTGTACTCTGCAAAGTGTTGCGTAAAATGACAACCCTATATAAATTATTTAGTTGTATAGAATGTTTAGGGTTCTGGGGTTGCAAGGTATTTTTATTTTGTTTTGTTTGAATTAGATTAAGTTTTTACAATGTAAACAATTATTTACTGAAAATGAGTGAAAGTTTTCAAACCTGTCCTACCTGCAACAAAAAAAAATTTAGCGTTGTCCAAAATGTTAATACACAACTTAATTTTTCATAGTTGTTACTGTAATATCAAGTCACCAGATAATGTATGCCTGGATTGAAATGTGCATGGGTAACACAAGGCATTAGTGGTTGATTCAACCTAGTGGCATCTACATATATCTGGGATACAACAGTTTTGGATGGACTGACTCTTTAATCTTTCTATCCATTCTATGCAAAGTAAAGTATGGGTGTCCTCATATTTTAAAACCAAATAAAATATTTCTGCAAGTAAAATGACTGACTGAACAGTGGCAATAAGAGGAGCAGTATACATGACAGGCAGTACTGCATTTATGTCAGGCATTCAGTGAATATAAAATCTTCTTTATTATAAACCCATACATAGGGACATAGGGAAAAATAGGATCCAATAAACAAAAAGATGCTAGTATTTTTTGTGTATTGGATCCTTTGTCCCTATGGGTTTGTAATTATGAAGATTTTATATGCACTGGATCACTGGCTGCTGATCTTTCTCTACTTGATTGCACAGGTTAAGTAACCCCTATATTTCATACAGTGTCCATAGATTGCAGCACCCGCTTTTGTATAATGGACATTGTAGCAGACACATGCCTCGGCTGTAATACTTTGCGGCAAGAACTAATCCTCCTATTACCCACTGAATGCAACCCATTTGAGCAACTGGGGCCACATTGCAACCACCCACAGCTGCATGCATGCAGTTGCAGTACTGTACTGCAACATTTAGAGAGTTTAAAAAGGCAGTGAGGAGGTGACAGAACGCCTCCTTACCACCTGTCAAACACCTCTTAAAAGCATTCCGACAGCAGATTCCTTTTCAGAGGCAGGGCAATCCTTGTAGGGTATACAAGCCCTGAGAGAGTATTTCCCTCACTTTCTGTGGAGATGACAGGTGTCAGACTGAACAGGAAGCCAGGGGAAATCAACAGGGAATCTGCCTACAGAACAATCTTCGAAATTGGACACAGACAGCAATTAAAAGCTGACAGAAATTCTAACTCTTCCTTGCTAAATCCAAAACAAAAAAAAAGTGTTGGCTGATGCTGGGTTATAATGCTGACAATTCAAGAAGTGAAATGTAGTTTTATGGATGAACTATCTCTTACATGCAGTGCAAAGGACAGAGACAAAAAAAGCACAATATATTTTTACTCTTAATAAAGGGATCCTTACTTTAAAAAAGTCCAAGAAAGGAACTGCCACCAAAATAACAACAGAAGCACCACATTTGATGCCTTCCGTTTTAAGACATTTTTAAACTTACACAACCTAGTTATTTATTAAAATATTCTACTGTTGGTGCAAAATGGTGCAGATATGCTGTAATGCTTTCAGCATTCCCCAGCATGCACAGTAGTTCACTTTTAAAAGTGTATGTAAACGTCTGAAGTCTATTTCATGGCTATGCAAACACAGTACACTAATATACAACTGGGGCATTCATGTAGTAATGTGTGACAAACTGTTTTTTCTCTAATCAAAGATTTAAGTATATACAAATAGGAATGAACAAAATGTACACATATTTTTTGATAAATACACAGAACATTTTTTTCTTTCAGAGAGGACATACATGCACATAGACCATTATAGACAGTTAAACATTAATTATAAAATATATCTATATAATCAATAATGTTCAAACTTAAATCTGCCCTTACCGATCCACATGTACATTTTATCTTACTAAGACATCAGATCCTTTTGAATTCTGTGTTTGGTTGCACTGGATATACAGATGCTCAAACACACATGCCTTCTTTTATTTAAATGAAAAATATTCAATAATCAAATAAATGATGTGATTATAACATGAGGCAAACCTAATACAAACAAGCCTATGAGAACAAGAAATTGCATATTTCTGTTTGGTGACTTTAGATACATTCATTTTAATGCAGTGCATACACAATGGATTTTAAGACATTAAGTGCAAAATGCTCAAAAGTGTAAACATGCATTAACTCTCAGAGCATTAAACTGTACATATGCATTTATTAATCATAAAAAGTCTAGAAATAGTGTACAAAATTGACTGGTCATGTTGCCAAGAATGAGCAATATTTCTGTATTTTATGCAGGTGTTCATTATAATAATCACAATCTAATCTTTCTGTTGCAATGATGATGTTGTAGGTAGCTGTAGTGGTCAAAGCCCAATCACAATGTACTCTTACTCATCAATCTACTAAGGACCGGCTCCTGATTGATGTTACAGGTTATAACTTACATACACTATAATGCCAAAAGTATTGGGACACCCCTCCAAATCACTGGATTCAGGTGTTCCAATCACCTCCATAGCCACAGGTGTATAAAATCAAGCACCTAGACATGCAGACTACTTCTACAAAAATGTATAAAAGAATGGGTCACTCTCAGGAGCTCAGTGAATTCAAGTGTGGAAACGTAATAGGTTGCCACCTGTGCAATAAGTTAATTCATGACATTTCCTTGCTACTAGACATTCCAGGGTCAACTGTTAGTGGTATTATAACAAAGTAGAAGTAACTGGGATCAACAGCACGAAAAGGATCTTGGCAACCTGAAAGTAGATACACTATATTGCCAAACGTATTGCGAAACCCCTCCAAGTCATTGCATTCAGGTGTTCCAATCACCTCCATGGCCACAGGTGTAGAAAACAAAGCACCTAGGCATGCAGACTGCTTCTACAAACATTTGTGAAAAAATGGGTCACTCTCAGGAGCTCAGTGAACTCAAGCGTGATACCATGATAGGTTGCCACTTGTGCGATAAATCCATCCATGAAATTTCCTTTCTACTAAATATTTCACAGTCAACTGTTAGTGGTATTATAACAAAGCGGAAGCAACTGGGAACAAAAACTCAGCCATGAAGTGGTAGGCCACGTAAAATGACAAAGAGGGGTCAGTGCATGCTCAAGCACACAGTGCGCAGAAGTCGCCAACTGTCTGCAGAGTCATTACCTAAAGACCTCCAAACTTCATGTATCCTTAAGATTAGCACAATAGTGCATAGAGAGCTTCATGGAATGGGTTTCCATGGCCAAGCAGCTGTATCCAAGCCTTACATCACCAAGTGCAATGCAAAACGTCGGATGCAGTGTTGTAAAGCAAGCCGCCACTGAAATCAAGAGCAGTGGAGACGTGTTCTCTGGAGTGACAAATCATGCTTCTCTGTCTGGCAATCCGAAGGATGTGTATAGGTTTGGTGGTTGCCAGGAGAACGGTACTTGCCTGACTGCACTGTGCCAAGTGTAAAGTTTGGTGGAGGGGGAGTTATGGTGTGGAGTTATCTTTCAGGAATTGGGCCTGGCCCCTTAGTTCCAGTGAAGGGAACTCTTAAGACACCATAAGACCAAAACATTTTGGACAATTTCATGCTCCCAACTTTGTAGGAACAGTTTGGGGATGGTCCCTTCCTGTTCCAACATGACTGCTTATCAGTGCACAAAGCAAGGTCCATAAAGACATTGATGAGTGAGTTTGGGGTGGAGGAACTTGAGTCCTGACCTCAATCTGATAGAACACCTTTGGGACGAATTAGAGTGGAGACGTGAGCCAGGCCTTCTCGTCCATCATCAGTGCCTAACCTCACAAATACGCTTCTAGAAGAATTTTCAAACATTCCCATAAACACACTCCTAAACATTGTGGACAGCCTTTCCAGATGAGTTGAAGCTGTTATAGCTGCAGAGGGTGGGCCAACTCAATAATGAACCCTACAGACTAAAACTGGATGCCATTAAAGTTCATGTGTGTGTAAAGGCAAGTGTCCCAATACTTTTGGCAATGTAGTGCATCATATACTCACTGGGATTTTTATAAAATAACTAAAAGTATTTCATAGGTAAATAAAATCCTTTCTCAAGCAGTGCAGCATCTTTTTTATGAATGTACCTGACACACAAAACCACACGGATATGTGGTACCTGGTCTAGAAGGTCCTCCACTTTCTTTTGCCAGCTGTCCTTTGCTGTATTTATTTCTCGCTCCTTCAGTTGCAGGACCTGAGCCATTGCAGCCTTCTTGTCTTCATCATGTTGCATCCTCAGTTCTTCTCTAAGTTTACTGCATTCTTGCCTACAATCAAACAAAAAGGATGGTATTCATACAGAATACCACAATCCACGTTTTTCTGCTTTTGTCATAAACAATGTATTTCTAACAATACCTGAGGGTCTCAGTCCATTTTAGTTCAAGATCTCGTGCTACTTTGTCTATCTTCAATCTCTCTTCTTCACGCATGGCAGATATCACAGACTCATGCTCCCGTCTTTCCCTTTCCAGCTCTCCCTGAAAAAATAACATAGAAATTTACAGACTGTGAGCATAATCTAGATCACAAAATGATTTTCAAGTTCATGTCTTATATGCAGTATATATATACATTTTAAAAGTATAAATAACAAAATGAATAAGTAAAACATATAAGCGATGGTGTGTTCAGGGGAATCCCTCACCTATCTGGTTAGTTGTAGAGTTCTTTGCAAGCTCACAGGCCCAACCAGTCTCCACAGAGCCTATTCTTCCTTTTACTAGGTCTATCAAGTTACACTGTTAATTTATAGGTCAAAAGCAATAAATTAGTAAGCTCTTTTGGCCCTACTTCTCCAGGGAATAACAGGAGTGTACTTTGTTCATCCACATCACTGAGCTGGTCCAGACTCTGGAAAGTCGAGATCTGCCCAGTATCCCGACCGGTAGCTGGCTCAGCTCTCAGCACGCCGCTGAGAGCCTGAGCCAACTGCTCCCGCCCCATCCACAACCCAGCGCTCCAGTGAGCACTGGCGGGGCAGTATACAGAGTCAGTGACTGACAGTCCCCGACTCTCTGAAGACCAAGAAATGAGTGATCAGAAGTCTTTGATCACTCAGTTCTTGGTGTAGAGACAGTGTAGAGAGCTTTGTAACTCCCCTTTACTAAGGTCCTCTGGAAGGATAACATCTAACCTGCTAGCCAGTGGCATAGCAAATCATGCTTGCTTTGCACTCCAACATCCGTCTCCCTCCTAATGCCACTGTCAACCTAAAAAATAACAAGCAAAATTAATGTGTATTTAATTTGCAAGTGGCTATACCTTGGGTTATTGTGGATTGTGTCTAATAACTAGCACTTCACAAGAAATGATGAACTATATAGAAAAATATTTTTTATCTCTTTTAAGCATATCTAAACTAAAAAACAAAACAGTTACTGTATATATTACAACTTACCAGTCCTTAGATGTAATGGCTGCATTAGTTTTCCTTTTGTCAGGCTGTTTTCTTTTACTTTAACCTGGTGGTAACTTACTTTCTGTCTTAGTACAGAACATCTCCCTCTTTCTTTCCATAACATAGAGGCGAGTGTTCTGTAGTCCATAAAGATAACTGGGATCAATGTTAAATGGTAACAATCAGCAGAGGCTCAAAGCACAGGAAGTTATCAGGGGTATGCTGGGCAGTGAGAGCACACACACCAGCTCACCATGACTTCTTCACTTCTCCCCTCAGCGATCACCGGGGAAAGAGAGAAGTACAGGCAGCAAAGCAGCACAGAGCAGCCTGCTACCTGCTCCCTTTGATGAATGTCTGTCTGAACACTCATCAGAGAAAACTTACTGGCTGCCTCCTCCCATCTCTACTCAGCTAGGCAGAGGAAGAAGAAAGAGCATCAGCAGCCTCTCCTGGCTCAGTCTCACTGTAGGTAAGCATCTGTAGCTCCTCAGAGGCATAGCTCGATGTGAAGATCTGTACCTGGTTAGATCAGGTGGAGACCTGTGGCTAATATCTGCACTAAACTGAAGCACCGATTCTAGTTTAAAGGGTACTGAAACTGTGACATTCTTGCAACAAATTGCAATTTGCGGTTTTCCAGTGGCATAGTATATCTCTTCTGCAACAAAAAGCCTGCCTGTTCACAAATTTGTTTAGGGGAAAAGTTCTGCTTGAGCAGACCATAATGGAGCAAAAAAGTAGTTAATTGTTGGGGTTTACATTTACTTTCACCACAGTTTGGTCATTTTATTTCACCTATGGTCAGGGCCGGTGCTACCACTAGGCAAAATAGGCAGCCACCAGGGTGCACTGCCACCCAGGGAACATCCACGGCCACTCTGGTCCCTCCTCCCTCTCACTGGCTGATTCTGCTCCCTCCTCCTGTTCCTGGTCCCCCTGTACCTTCTCTCTGCTTTCTTTCCATCCCTTTGTCAGCTGCCTCTGGCTGTAGTGCTGCCCCAGAACCACAGCACTGTGCCCTGTACACAGCCTGTCCCTATCACACCTAGCAATTTTCAAAGCTCCCTTCCCTGAGTGATAGCGGGGAAAGGGGCAGGGAGCTGTCAGCCAGCCGAGTTCCCGGGAGTGGATTGGCTGAGTGCAGGCGGCCACACTCTCAGCCCCACTTCCTGAACATGGAGCAGAGCAATGCAAAGTTAGCTGTCAGTGTAAGCTGCATGCATTGGGATCTATAGAGAGTTGGGACCCTGGTGAGGTCCTATTAATGCATGCTGACTGCCCTGCTCCCCCTGGATAGGGTCTGCTCATAGTAAGCAACCTGTTGATCTATTCTCTGGCTCTGACAGGTCAAATATTAAGTGACAGCACCCAGCTCTGACCAAGGACAGGAGCATTTCCAACAGGGACAGTGTGGGGAAAGAGGGGAGGGTGCATGCTACCTGCACCCAGGGGTGTCCCTGCCTCTGACCCACCTTACAGGGTCACTATATCACTTTATATTTGCTGTGCACAGGCTGGTAATGCTATAGGGTGAGTCTTACATACCTATTACTTTGCAGTCCTGGGGGTGTTCCAAGGCGGGTGGGTCATGAAAGTCCTTGCAGGTTGGGCCCAGCATGGAGGAGGTGGTGTCAGGCATCATCTACTGGAGTAGGATCCGGAGGAGGAAACAGGCACTGGACAGGGTCTTCTCCTCCTAGCCCAATCTCTGCTGCTCCAGGGCTGACTCCTCACTCTGTAGCAGCCCTGACAGCATCGCCGGTTTAGTTTTACTGTTTTTGAACAATTTTGATGGGTTTTTTTTGGGGGGGGGGGCAAGTAGCTGGTCTTGTCTAGGGCACAATATAGTCTAGCACTGGCCCTGTCTATGGTAATTGTGATAATCAAACACTGATGATACTCAAACAGGAAATTAGCGGTTGGCCTTACTAACGGTTTTAAAGTATTGGTGCCATAGTCCACTATGGGTTCTTCTATGCTGCTATCTTTCTGAAGTGGTGATTCATACGTTTTTAATTTAACTAGTTGCAGTCTTTGGGCATGCAACACATGCCCAACAAATTCATCATTGTACACAGGGCTTTTGTAGCACATCCAGTCTCTCTGTCTTCCTTCCGGGACATCCCCCCCCCCCAGTACAGTATACAATAATTTTCAGCTGTATACTCCGAGAAGACTTCTGTCAAAAAACCAGTCTTATTCAGTGTTTATAAACAACACTGCTATGTAACATATTGTTACTTTTGTATGTTTCTGTTCAAGCATCTGCAGATCAAAGAGATAAACTTAGATCTGCAAATTATGGTGTCCGTTTATGAAACTGAGATCAGCGGCGATCCTGAGGATCATTGTTGATCTCAGATCATTAGTGGTTTATGAAACAGAGATGATCAGCGGAGAACATGTTCTCCGCTGATCATCTCTGCACACAGAGAATCTGTCACTGACAGAAACAGAAACGGCCAGTTTATCAAGGAGCAATGTCAGCCCTTCACTGGCGATCTGTGTGAAAATTCTTCTTCCCAGATTCTCCAGCCCAGTGGTGGAGAATCAGGGAGAGAATAGTGAATCCCAGGAGAACTGAGGAGGAAAGAGGAAGATTATTGACTTCGAAAATCCCCCCTGCTTTTTACAACCCCCGATAGGGTAGAGCAAGTTAGAAACACAATTATATATGTGTGTGTGTGTGTCTGTATGCAGTGCAGTGGTGTAGTGAGCTACTGAGCAGTCTCCTCTGAGAGAGCCGACAAGAAAGCAGAGGTAATTTACTGCTTCTTAGTAAACTGTGTATTTGACTGATCTCTTACTGTAATCTCGCAACAGTTCTAGAGTTCTTTTCTTGAGTTCAAAATGTTTGTAGATCACTTCACTCCTCATTAGGAGAAGCGATACACACCGCTTCATTCATAAACAGGC